GCCATCCGGGAACCGGGAATCCCAGGCTGTGGGGGAAGCAGCTTCCTCTGTGTGACTGGCTGGAGCCAGCACATCCCTGCTCCCCTCCCCGTTCACTGCTCCCAGCCCAGCACAGTCTGTGCCCACTGGGCCCTGAACACGGCTGGGCTCTGGGCCATTCCACACCCCTGGCCCCTGAGCCTGTCGGGATCCTGAGCCAGTCACTCCATTGCCTCGTTCTAGGGGATCACCAGCCCCTGGGGAGCCTCCTGTCACCCCCCAGAAGCTCCTTCCTGGGCAAGGTCCCAGGCCCTGAGAGACTCCCTGGCTGCTCCAGGCCGGCCAGGCCCAGGGTCTCCAGCAGGGCTCTTGGTGCTGGCACCGCGCTCACTGCCAGAGCTCCCAGCCCTGACCCAGCCCGGCCTGTTGTCCCAGCGCTGACCCCTCCCCTGCGGTGGGGACGCTGCTGCTCTCAATGGCTGAGCCCCTCTCTCTGCCGCTGCCTCTGCTGCTGCGCTCGCAGGCTCAGCCCGTGCCAGGGCCAATGCGGCGCTGCTGGGGCTGCTCCTTCCCTCGGCACCTGGAGTCTGTGTCTGGGGCAAATGGCGGGTGAGTGGCAGGGACCTGCTCAGAGACACACGCCCTGTGCTGCACCCAGAGGGCAGAGACCAGCCAGGGCCAGGCAGCAAATTGCCACCACGCTGGGATTAACCCTTTCCTTTCACCACCCCAGCAGCCCCGGCCTATCAGTGCCACTCGACTGCCCGCGCTCTGACCCCAGGGACCCGGGTCGGCACCTCAGGGGAGTCACTGGGTGAATGTGTGGGGCAGAGTAACCAGGGCTCCCTATGCCCGAGGGTCCCCATGTGCAATGGGGGAGACCCCACGCTGTCATGCAGCTCTTAGGGTGGGGTGGGCAAACTATGGCCCGTGGGCACTTCCTGTCCGGCCTGCCTGAGCTCTCGGCTGGGAAGGCTCCTCCCGGCCACGTTACCACCTTCCCCACTCCACCGGAGCCTCAGCACGCTGCGCGGGCACCACGCTGGGGGATGGCGCGTTGCTGTGTATCAGCTTGCACCAGACACGCTGCTCGGAGCGGCATGGTAAGGAGGCCTGGCCAAGGGGTTGGATAAGGGGCAGGGGGCTCAGGGGACAGGGAAGGGGGGATTGGATAAGCGTGGGAGCCCTGGGGGGCCTGTCAGGGGATGGGGGTGTGGATAGGGTTCAGGGCAGTCGGGACAGGGAGCAGTGGGGGTTGGATGGGGGTTGGGGTCCTGAGGGGTCATTAGGGTCGGGAGGGGGCAGTCAGGGGACAAGGAATGAGGGGGGGAGTTGGATGGGTCAGGGATTCTGAGGGGGGCAGTCCA